CCTCCTGCATCCCAGCACAGTGTGGCAGCATCCTGCATCCCTCCAGCAAACCAGCACAGTGTGCCTGCATCCTGCATCCCTCCTGCATCCCAGCAGGGCATGCCTGCATCCTGCATCCCTCCTGCATCCCAGCACASTGTGGCAGCATCCTGCATCCCTCCCGCATCCTGCATCCCTCCGGCATCCCGGCCCGGCGTGCCTGCATCCCGGCGCAGCCCCTGCAGCCCACGCAGCCCAATGGCAGCAGCTGCGGCAGCCGAGCCCATCCCCGCGGAGCCGCCCACCCGCCCACAGCAGCTCCCGGCCGGGCTGCAGCCCCCGGCACAGATCCCCATCGCCCTCCTCCTGAGCGCTGCAGGAGTGTGTCTCCCTTGRCCACAGCCGTGCCAGAGCCGGAGCCCAGGCAGCCTCGGCAAAGCCGGGCTTATTTTCGAGAAGTCAGGAGGGAGCTGCTTTCTCCCGCCAAACCCGCAGCACTGACTTGAGCCTGGAGCAGGACCCTGCCAAGCCCCMCAGCCAGGACCCGGCTGAGCCCCCCAAGCCCTTGTGACCCCCCCACCTTCTCCCGGGTGCCGCGAATGTGCCCCTGCAGCTCCCGCGGCCTCGCCTGGCAGTGGGCAGCTGCCTGCAGCACCCCGGGTCAGCAGCAGCCACCGGCCGGGCACTGTCCTGCCCGCTCATGCCAGCTCAACGTCACTTCGTTATCGGCGGCATAACAAGGCTGAGGGGAGCTGGGGGACGCCTGCAGTGGGGACAGCGGGACCCCTGTATCCCAGCACAGCCATGCAGCTCCTTGCTTGCACTGCCCTAATCCCGGACTCCTGTGTGGACCAGGATGGACCAGTTCTGTATCCCAGGGGGCTGTAGTGCCAGGAGCTCACGTTTCCACAATTTTCAGCAGGACCTGATGCCCCTTCCCCGTGTCCTCCCAGCTAGGCTGTGGGGACCAAGCASAGTGGCTGGCAAGTTGCCGGCAGTGCTAGAGGGACTTTGCTGGGAAGCACGGCTGGACCATGGGCACACAGGTCAGGGCTTTGCACCCTGAGTAGCCACAGCATCCCAGCTTTTGGGACCAATTCATCCCCCTGAGCTCTCTGAGCCAAAGGCACGGCCAAAAGCCCAATCCCCTCYGTGYTGGCAGCTKGGTGCTTCTCCAAGACTGTTYCTGCACCTCCAGCTTCCTCACAGCACARCTCAGATGTGAGTCTGCAACTGCAGGAGTTTCGGCAATGGCCCGAGAGGGAAGAAAAGTGTTTTCTTCTGTAGGATGCACCCAGGAGCCAGGTGAASGGTGCTCTGATGGTTTGTGCTCCCATCAAGGTCCATTCCCGTCCCTGGCAGTGCAACGGGATACAGGAGCGTGGGTGCTGCGACATGGATGGTTTATGGCTGGGAAGCCCCCGGGAGCTGGGCCAGCAAGGGGGGGACCATGTACTGCAGCCTGCCAGGCATGCTGCCATCAGAATAGGAGCGGGTGAAACTGGACATGGAATTAATGCGAATGTAGGCATGAAACTGCTGCCTCTGGTGAGCCTGATCCTCCAAGGGTGAGGTCCTGGGGCAGGGAGAGCTGCRGGACCCCTGCTCTGGGCATCCCAGCATCCTGCCCAGCTGCTCAGGTGAAGGATTCAGGTAACGTGGCAGGCAGCGCCKCCCCATGCCAGGCGCCTGTCCCCGTATTTCTACCCCTTTTTCACTGTGTTTGCAGCAAATATCCCCCTCCACGCCACGGGGAAGGTGACTTTAGCTCAATGACTCACGCTGCCCTGCTCTGTCGCCTCGGCACCTCCTGCCACCTCCTGCCGTCACCTCTGCGCTCATGCCCCGTGCTGGTCCCGTGCCCACCCCCCCCAAGGCTGCACCGGCGCCGCAGGGATCCGCAGAGCAGCAGCCCTGCCCCTTCCTTCGGCCCGGGAGCCTCTGTTGCGGCGCAGCATCTCCCAGCCCACCGGGCCCCTCCGACCGCCCGGGTGGGCTCCGGCGCCTTCCCCAACCCATCATCACGACAACGCGACAGGCGGGCGCTGGGGACTCAGCCGCGACACGTGAGGTCGCCAGTGACCGCCGAACCGCCGGCACCGGCGCCGCTCGGCTTGCCCGAGTCAATGACACAGCCCAAAAGCACACGCGGCGCGTCGGCCGGGGTTATTCCGGCTTTGCCGTCACGTACACCAGTGCCAAAGTAACGGGGTCCATCGGKCTGCCCGCGGGTCCCCGGTGTGTGACACCGCCAGCTCCCTGCTGCGCCGCGGCTGCCGGCCAGGCACGGCTGAGCCACCGCCGCGGCCCCGCCGGCACCCAGCACCGCACCTACCTGTCTCCGGTGCTCCGGACCGAGGGCGATGCGCGGTTGGGAAGCACAAGGAAACGAGTCAAAGCCCGGCTGCCGGCGGGCTGCGGGCTCCGCGGGTCTCGGGAAGCGGCGCCGGTGCCGGCGCAGAGCAGCTGCTACAGCCGGCGGCAAACGCAGCGGATGACGGTTCCTACCCCATTCCCGCTCTGTCCCCGGGAAAAGGCGTCTGGCGAGGGGGGAAGCCGAGCCCTCTGCGCCCCAGGWTGCGACAGCACCCAAGGATGCTGCAGAGCCGTTCCTGCCGCTCTCACATCCTGACTCGGCAAGTTTGGCTCCGCCGGTGGCTGCAGCCGGCTCCCGATCCCGCCGGTGCCTTAACCGTGTCGGCGCCGCAGCCCGGCACCGGCAGCGCGTGGGCGAGCGAGCGGCTGCCACCAGCCGCCCCTGCGCAGCTCAGGCGGGGGGAGGCTCGTCCGGGGCCACGGGGAGCCTGRGCAGGAGCTGCATCATTGCTGCCTCAAATCACGCCGAGTGTGTTTTTCTTAAAAAAAAAAAATCAAATACAGCGTCGGCAGTGATGCTGCGGGGCTGCCTCCAGCACCAGGGTCACCCGGCCGCCACGTTCTGCCACTGGCCACCCATCCTCCTCTGCTCGCGCCCATCACGCGTTCTCAGCGCCTTTGGCTTTTTGGCTATCTTGGGCAAAAAACCCACGCTGGAGCGTGCGTCTTGGAGACACCCMAGTAACTGGAGCAGGCTGGTCCCTGTGGCAGCGCAGCTCAGTGATCCCGCAGTGACAACACCAATGCAGCTGGATCTAACAGGAAAACTAGAGGCCAAGCCAGCAAAAAGGGGTCAGGGTTTGGGACAGGCTGCTCACGCAGTGGTGCTCTGGCAGCTATAAATTAGGAAAACCTGGTTCCTCTCCCTCAGCCGAGTGCTGCTCAGCTTCATGGCAGCATCTTGGCACTTCCTCTGCCATTTCAGCACGGTCCTGGCAGCAATGGGGACAACAAGCACACTACCTGCTCCAAACCATGACACTGACAGGGACCACTCAACACTGCCAGGGTGGGTGATCCCAGCAGGCTGCCCACTTTCCATGCCACAGCAGTTCTGGGAACAGGCAGGGAAGGTCACAAATCCTGTCCCATTTAGGAACGCTCCCAGCACCAGCCCATCAGTGGCTTTGCTCCCCCCACAGATGGTGGGAGCCATGTGCCAAGTCGATCTGATCTGCTCCCGCTCCTTGATGCATCTGACCCACAGACCCGCAGGCCACAAGCAGGAGGTGACAGCTGGCCCTGMCACCCTCCTCATCAAAACAATAATAGTAATAACTAATAAAACCCGCAGCTCTCTTGAATCTGCCGTCGGCATCCACGTAAAGACGCATTTTCTGCTCACCAGCTGGAAAATCACTGCATATATGCAACAGGCCTGTATAGGGATGTGACATAGACTGGATACATCTYGCCTAGACTGCTCTGGCACTCACCCACAGTGCTGCACGGCGGCTCCCAGCAATGAYTGGGGAAGAAACCTGTGGTTTTGGGAAGCAGGCTGAGTGCCATGCCCATACCAGCATAGACCACGGTCTCACCTGGACGAGAGCCTGTAGCACCCGTGTCAGCAGTCCTGTGCCGGCCGCAGGCTGAACAGGCAGGGGGCCTATGGGGATCCCCATCATGAGGAAAACAGCCCCCAAAAAAATGGAGGCTGGCGAGACAGAGGCCCGCGAGSTTCGGGCCTGGCAGAAGAAACGGTGAGGCAGCGGCGGCAGCAGCTGGGCTGTGAGGGGACCGGGGACCCGCCACAGGGCTCGGGGCTCCTTCCACACGCACATCCCCGSTCGCCGCGGCAAAGGGAGACAAGGAGCGGACCAAGGAACGGCAGGAAACTGAAGGAATCGCGTCTTTTGACTCGCTGTGCGCAAATCGGCTCCAGGGAAAATCCAGTATTCCCACCCCCGTGTCACCGGGGCTTTGCCGGCGGCTCACACCGTGTCACCGGGGCTCCTGCCGACACCGACAGGCCGCAGGCCACCGGACCACCACCAACACTGTCGCTTAGCAYTGCTGTGGGAATGAAGGAATAGCCGACCTCCCCCGTCACCGCACAGCACAGGGTCACACTGGGCCGAGAGCAGGCGGCGGGGCGAGGGCCCCGCTCTCCACACCAGGGAGCGTCGGGAGGGGCGTGCGGCGGGGTGGCCTCGCCCGTAGCTCTGCCCACGGCCCTGCCCGGTTCCATCGCCCCCACCGCCATCGCCCGGCCTGGCCCGCCGCCCCGGCCCC